TTATGCTCAGCTACTAAGATTTCCCTTCAGTGGTAAAATTCAATATCTACAACGGGCACAGTAAAGACGTTTACAGTAAGTCTTTCTACGACAGACCAACGGACCACGAGTGCCCCTGTCGGTCAACCAATCACGTACCGCGGTACCCAGCGTCATCTTACGTCATGATACGCAACACCGCAGCCAATTACCTGCGGTACGTGTCTGTACCGCGCACTTTGAATGGCTGCATCTGTAGTACTACTGTTAGAAGCTGTAGTGTTGGTATTTTCAGTAACAGTACTAGAGTTAAAGCAGTAGTGTTGATATTTTCTGTAGTTGCAGTTGAAATACAAGCAGTAATATTTTCAGTAACAGCACTAGAATGAGACGCAGTAGTGTTGATATTTTCAGTAAGAGGACTAGAATGAGAAGCAGTAGTGTTGAAATTTTCAGTAACAGGGCTAGAGTTAGAAGCAGTAGTTTTGATATTTTCAGTAACAGGATCAGAATTAGAAGCAGTAGCGTTGATATTTTCAGTAGCAGCAGTAGTAATAAAAGCAGTAGTGCTGTTTTGTCCAGTAACAGCACTAGCTGTAGAAGCAGTAGTATCGTTATTTTCAGTAACAACTAGTAATAGAAGCAGTAGTGTCGTTAATTTCAGTTGCAGCACTAGAAATAGAGGCAGCAGTAGTGTTATGTTTCATAGATGCAGTAGAAATACAAGGAGTAATATTATTTTCAGTATCAGTACAAGAATGAGAAGCAGTAGTGTTGATATTTTCAGTACCAGGACTAGAATGAGAAGCAGTATTGTCGATATTTTCAGTAAAAGGGCTAGAATTAGAAGCAGTAGTGTTGATGTTTTCAGCAGCAGAACTAGTAATACAAGCAGTAGTGTCGTTGTTTAGTAGCAGCACTAGAAATAGAGGCAGTAATATTGCTATTTTCATATGCAGCAGTACTGTTGTGATTTTAATGAGCAGCACTAGTAATAGAAACAGTAGTGTTATTATCAGTAGCAGTAGTAATAGAAACAGTAGTGTTATTATCAGTAGCAGTAGTTATATAAACAGTAGTGTTATTATCAGTAGCAGTAGTAATAGAAGCAGTAGTGTTATTTTCACCAGGAGAACTAGTAATTGAAGCAGTAGTGTAATCATCAGTAGCAGTGGTAATAGAAGCAGTAGTGTTATCATCAGTAGCAGTGGTAATAGAAGCAGTAGTGTTATTTTCACCAGGAGAACTAGTAATAGAAGCAGTAGTGTCGTTATGTTTAGTAGCAGCACTAGGAATAGAAGCAGTAGTGTTTTTCAGTAGCGGCACTAGTAATGCATGCTGTAGTGTTATTTTCAGTAATAAAATTAGTAAAAGAACCAGTCGAGTTATTTTCAGTGGTAACACAAGCATAGAAGCAGTAGTTATTTTAAGGAGCAGCAGTAGGAATAGAAGCATTATTGTTATTTTCAGCAGGAGAATTAGTAATACAAGCAGTAGTGTCTTTATGTTTAGTAGCAGCAGTAGGAATAGAAATTGTATCTGTATTTTCAGTGGCACCACTGCAAATAGATGCATAATGTTCTTGTTATTATAAATAACAGCAGTAGTAATAGAAACAGTAGTATCTTTATTTTCAGTAGCACCACTGCTAATAGATGCATAATGTTCTCGTTCTTATAAATAACTAGTAATGTTATTTATATATAAATACAACAGTAATGTTGTTTTCAGCAGTGGCACCAGATATACAAGCAGTAGTATTGTTATTATCAGTAGCAGCAGTAGTAATAGAAGAAGTAATGGTTATTTTTATGAGCAGCAGTAGTAAAAGTGAGTTGTGAAGCTCTCTCCCTCATTTTCCAGGATGTCCAGACGCTGACAGTGAGAAGACAGGTATGGATGAGGAGTTGTGATAGAGGTGGGATTGTATGATTTGTGTTTTTTCAGTCCATCACAGGACACACACCCTGGACAGAACACCAGTCCGTCACAGGACACACACACACACACACACACACACACACACACACACACACTGGACAGGACAAACACTGTCACACCAGGGCCATTTTTCCCAGCAGGCAGTTAATCCATCGGCGTGTCTTGAGACTGTGGGAGGAATCTGGAGGACCCAGAGGAAGTCCTCCCTAAGTGTGGGTGAACATGCAGACTCCACACACACAGCAGCCCTGGTCCAGACTTGAAGCAAGGCAGCCAGAACTGCGAGATGACAGTGCCGATCACTGTGCCTCTGTGCTGCTGCAGTAAACGCACTCCACCTCCTTTACAAACACAAACACACACAGGGTGTCCATCACACTGAAAGACCCCACAGTCTAGACTGAGGGGAGATGCAGCTGTTTTGTGCTGAACTCCACCCCCTGTCACTGTTGGGTCACAGATCCCAGAGATTAGAAACACCAGGCCAAATTCAGAAAGATAAAAGTGACCGCGTTCTTCTTAACGACCGTTGTCCCCAAGGTGTCAGTAACGTTAGACTCCTGGTGTCCTGGAGCATCATCCAGGTGGGGCTGGAGGAGATCCCCATGACCTGGGAAGAGCTCTGAGTGGAGGGTCCAGGAAAGAGCTACAGAAGTGTAAGGAGTTATTACTGTTAGTCGTAGAAGGAAATGTCGAATGCTTCAAATGTCTGTGTGGTTTAAAGAGTTTGTGAATTAATTTTTCTTGTACTTCTTCAGAGAATCTAAAAATATCTGTTTGAAACTGGTCAGCACAGTCCTGTTGCTCATACGGTAAGATTATTATTTTCTGTGACCCCCAGCGTGATATTCGTCATGTTAATAATGTTCCAGCTGCCCTGTTCCCTTATTGGTGTGGTTTCTCTTGTTAAATCACTGTATGTTTATGCCCTTAACTATTTTAATTTCTTCTTTATATAATCCCGGGGTGTCTCTGGAGAAGAGTAGGGGTGTTACCCCAGTGTCCTGGCCTGATTCCCCCCCTGGTCTTGACCCATCATGGCCTCCTAATCACCCCCCTCTCTGAACTGGCTCCATCCCTCTGCTCTCCTCCCCTCTGAGAGCTGCTGTGTGCTTGATCTCAACTGGGAAGACAGTGGGAAGACAGGTATGGATGGGGAGCTGTGATAGAGGTGGGATTCTCTCATCTACTCCTGCCCCGAAGGCAGGGGGTTCGAGCCTGAACTGGGAAGAGCAAGAGGCTGACAGTGGGAAGACAGGTATGGATTAGGAGTTGTGATGGAGGTGGGAAGCTCTCTCCCAACTTTCTTCAGGATGTCCAGATGCTGACAGAGAAGACAGGTATGGATGGGGAGTTGTGATAGAGGTGGGAAGCTCTCACCTGCAGTCTGTTTCCTACTTTTCCTGGATGTCCAAAGGCTGACAGTGGGAAGACGGGTATGGGTGAGGAGTTGTGATGCAGGTGGGATTCTCTCACCTGTATTTTTTCCTTAAGTTTCCAGGAAGTCCAGAGGCTGGCAGTGGGAAGACGGGTACAGACGGGGTGTTGTGATAGAGGTGAGAAGTTCTCTCCCAACTTCGTTTCCCTGATTTTCCAGGATCCACAGTCTGACAGTAGGAAGGTGGGTATGGATGGGGAGTTGTGATAGAGGTGGGATTCTCTCACATGCGGTCTTTTCCCTCATTTTCCAGGAAGTCCAGACGCTGGCAATGGAAAGACCCGAGTGGATGAGGAGTTTGGTTGGAGGTAGGAGACTCTCCTGTCTTGATTTCTTCCTCCTTGTGGCAGTCTGTGTGCCTGTCTCTCCAGCTGCCTGTGGGCTGTGAAACTCCACTGCTTCACAGTGCTTACCTGGGCTTAGTAACTGTAGGTTGCAGGTTTGATTCCTGATGGGGGACACAGCTCTTGTACTCCAGGGCTTCTGTCTACTGTGACAGACTGTTCTGATACAATGGTCATCACAGTGGCTGTACTGTAGGGAGTGTGGTGTTGACTGGTGTGCTGCATTCTCACATATACTGAATACTGGTCCTGACACACCTGTGTGCTGAGCTCTCACCTGTACTGTGCTTTAGTATTACTATTACACTGGTAATGGAAACAGTGGTATTGTTGTTTTCAGGAGCAGCACTAGTAATGGAGCATAATGTTCTTGTTATTGTAAGAGCACTAGTAATAGAAACAGTCGTGTTGATGTTTTCAGGAGCAGTAATGGTAATAAAAGCAGTGGGGTTGTTTGTTTCAGTAGCTGCTCTCATAAAAGCAGAAGTGTGATTTTTTCAGTAGCAGCACCAGTAGTAGAAGCAGTAATGTTGTTGTTTTTATGAGCTGCAGTAGTAAGGGGGAGAAGCTCTCTCCCTCATGTTCCACGATGTCCAGAGGCTGATATTGGGAAGACAGGTATGGATTAAGAGTTGTGTGGAGGTGGGAAGCTCTCTCCAGACTTTTATTTTCCTTGCTATTCCAGGATGTCCAGATGCTGACAGTGGGAAGCCCAGTATGGAGTTGTGATAGAGGTTGGATTCTCTCACCTGTTTTTTCTTTTCCTTGGTTTTCCTGGATGTCCACAGGCTGACAGTGGGAAGACAGGTATGGGTGGGGTGTCGTGATAGA